TAGTGAGGTTGGCCCAGGATCGGACATTGTTTCGTTCTGCTGTGCATGGAGTCGCTATGAGTCGGTTCTGACTCGATGGCACCTGACAACAACAATAACAACAACAACTTGATCAAGCTATAGCTTCTTTTCTCCTTGTCCCCATGGTTAATATAAAACTGATAGGCTTGACATTGCTGATTATTTGCTCTAACTGATAATAAGGCCTTTATGTGGGTGTTGTGGGTCCAATATCCAGATATGGACACATACACTTGAAAGCTGCTGTGTTCTGGGTCCAATATCCAGATATGAACACATACACTTGAAAGCTGCTGTGTTCTTTACTTAACTGGGGCTTTTGTCTCTTACTTATTTTATTTTATTTTGCTTTAGATTCATATAATTTCTAAAGGTTTTTTTTTTTTTTCAGATTCACCTTTGTGGTTCAACTTATTTTCTGTAAATTCAGTGATAAAGTGGTGAGTAACTGTAATTTTTTGGATTGCTTAAGGGTCTATGTGCAATAAACAAGTATGTTAATTATTAAGACTATTAGTTCACTAGAAATATTAGAATGTGACCATTTCTTCCAGTGCTGCTTGGTAATGATTTGTGATTTCCACACCATGGATGCTGTGCACCATTTTGATTCCCATAGGGATTAATCTATATAATTTTGAGGAATCTTACAGTTTAATAAAAATAATTGATAGACATGTTAGAAACTTAAGATGATGCTTGGAAAGTAGGCAATGTTAAAATGTGTCAGTGACTTGAATATTATTTTGCACCCTGGACCAGATTGCATTTATATATTCACATGCCTACCATATTACAGTCCAAAGTATTGGGCATATTGTCAGGAGGGAACAGTCGCTGGAGAAGGATATCATGCTTGATAAGATGGAGGGTCAGAGAAAAAGAGGAAGACCCCCCAACGAGTTGGGTTGGCCAGGTGGCAGCATTGATGGACTCAAGAGTGGCAACAGTAGTGAGGTTGGCCCAGGACTGGACATTGTTTTGTTCTACTATGCATGGGGTCACTATGAGTCGGTTCCAACTCGATGGCACCTAACAACAACAACCACGTTACCGAGACCTGTTGTGGCAATGTGAGGTAATGCACTGTATAGCAAGGTCAGTTTGAATCACAAGGTTGGCAGTTCAAATTCACCATCTGCTCCTCAGAAACCTTATACAAGGTCGCAGAGAGTCAGAACTGACTTGACGACACTTAACAACGATCACAACCACTTCCCTAAACTCCAAACTCTTGGGTAATGGATCTGTGTCTTAATCATTGTCTTTCTAGTGTGTGTCTAAACAAAAGCTACTTTGTGTTTAGACAAGATGTGTGGACCACTTGAATCAGATTCCTCTGGTGTATTTTGTTAAAAACACAGATTATCAGAACACACTGACAGATTTAATACCCAAGAATCTTCAAAAGTGCCTTTTAAAAATAGACTTCTTCGGCCATCTGAGGTGTAGCTATTGGTCTCAACATGTGTGGGAGAAAGAAAAATGATAAGAATCTAAGAGGCTTGGAATCAGTTAGTCCACTGGATTAATGGAACATATGAACATCACTCTCTGTGATTCTGAAACCCAAAGAACTAGACAGTGCCTAGCTACCACTACCAACTGCTCTGAAAGGGATAACGTTAGAGGATCCCAGAAAGAGCGGAAGAAAATGTGGAACAAAACTCAAAGTTATTTAATTTTAAAAAAAGAAAAGAAAAAAGACCAGGTTTATGGTCAGAAAGCGACTAGAGGAACCTGGAACTATGGCCCTTGACCACCCTTCAGGTCTGGAAAGGAACTCACCATTATGGCCCAGTTTTTAGCCAAGGAGTAGATGGATGTATAGGGGACGGAGGTACATAAAGTAATGCTCACCCTGGAGTGGCCCATCAATCAAAATTCAAATGGCAACATTTTCATAAAGACAAAGTTGAAAGGGATGGGGCGGTGGGTAGAATGTAAATAGAAACCACAGGGAGGAAGCAGGAAAATTGTTGTTGCACTGGGGTTTGCAGTCGTTGAGATAAATCAAAGTGTATGATTTGTTGAATGTAAAACTGTGATCTTGTCTGTGAACTTTCACTCAATTCACAATAAAAAGCTTTTTTTAAAAATCAAATCAAACTGAGCTTCTTTAGGTGATTCTTATAATCACTGAAGTTTAAGAGCTCCCAGGTCCGATGATAAGTAAGCACAAACATTGATAGTATGTGGCTAGAAACCAAATCCCACAGACTTGGCTGCCACACTCTTGCTGGCATGATCCCTGTATTCTCAGTAAATGTTTAATGGGCTACTAAGTGCCAGAACTCTGGATACAAAGATAAACAAGACAGTGTTAACAGTTAAAAGCAGAATCTCCTTGATTCAGAAAGATTTAGATGAGCCAGGCCTCTTACTGTGTGACTTTCAGCAGTAACCCACAGTTTCCTCTTTTATAAAGTAGAACTAATACCATCCAGATAGATTTGACATAATTATTAAATAAGATAACGCATATAAGTGTCTTAGTAAAGTATTTAGAATATAGTATGCTATCAGTAAATGATAGTCATTATTATTATTAAGGAACTCATATTCCAAGCAGGGCTGAATTTCCTGAAAAATGGGGAATGAGGGAAGGGACTCTGTCAGTTTACTTCAGTCGTCTAGTATATGACTCCATAACCTTGTGACTTAAAACAATATTGAGCTCGTCTCATAAGTGGCCTGAGGTAATCTCACAAAATGGTTCACTACTCACTTGACCCAGAAAACCCCACAAAATCATGCAAATCCAGAGGTTCAAATCTCTGGGTCCATTTTAAGAACACCCATGAGACTGCCCAGCCATCAAGGGTATGCATATCCGGAAAGCCACGAAGTATCTTAAAGATGTCACTTTGCAGAAGCAATGTGTACTGTTCTGATGTTACAATGGTGGCCTTGGTTGGTGTGCCCAGGTCAAACAGTGGGGTTGAACACAGGGTCGGTGGCCCAAAAAGAGTGCTGAATTTTTGTTGCACATTGCTTAAAAATGCAGAGTGTAATGCTGAACTTAAGGGTTTAGATGTGGATTTTCTTGTCATTGAGCATATCCAGGTCAACAAAGCTCCCAAGATGCGCCGCCAAACTTACAGAGCTCATGGTCAGATCTACCCCTGCGTGAGCTCCCCCAGCCATATTGAGATGATCCTCACTGAAAAGGAACAAATTGTTCCTAAACCAGAAGAGGAGGTTGCACAGAAGAAAAAGACATCTCAAAAGAAACTGAAGAAACAAAAAAACTTATGGCTTGGGAGTAAATTAAGCTTTAAATAAAATGCACATAAAAGTAAAAACAAAAACAAAAAACCGCTATTGATCAGTTCACTCCAGCAGGTTAGTTGAGTTGGCAGAGTTCAGCTGGGATGGCTCACTCAGGCTCACTCAGGTGTTAGTGGTCAGTTGGCAGTCACATGTTGAGAGGAGCATGGCGGTAACTGCACTATATGAACTCATCATCCAGCAGGCCAAACTGGGCATGAGTATGCATGCAGTGGTGGCCACAGGATCCCTAAGATCCGTAAGAGAGAGCAAGCCCCAATGAGCAAGCACCTTTCAAGTCTCTTTTTGTACCATGTTTGCTAGTGATTCATTAGCCCAAGAAAGGCATGTGGCCAAACCCAGCTAACTGGGTGGAGAAAAACCCCATCTCTTAATGGAGGTGCATACAGGAATGAAAAGAATTTATGCCTATTTTCGCAATCTATACAGAGTGAGTTTTATCGAGTGATTTTTGTTGTTTTTATTGCTACTCTACATCAGATTTTATGCTGGGTGTTTTATTTAATTTCATGATAATATTCTGATGTCCAATCCTGGTGTAGCATTGTAGGATAAGCACTAGGTTGCTACCTGCAAGGTTGGCAGTTCAAACCCACTAGTTGCTTTAGATTTAAACTTAACAGGGTCGCTATGAGTTTTTGACACTAACAAAAGACAACTAGATGACCAACTAGATAACAAATGACCAACTAGACAGCACATCATCATCACCACCACCACCACAACCATACCGTGAACCACTGAGTCATATATTTACATGATACATAAAAAAAGAAGAACTAATCATTTCTTATACCTCAGGCTTTCTAAAGTAGCCATAGTGGTGCTGTGGGTTAAGTATTGGGCTGCTAATCCTGACGTTGGCAGTTCAACCCCCCCAGCCACTCCACATAAGAAAGATGAGGTTGTCTGCTCTTATAAACATTAATAGTCCCCGAAACCCTAAGGAGCAGTTCTGCTTTGTCCTGTAGGGTTGCTTTGAGTTGAAATTAATTTGATGGCAGTGGGTTGGTTGATTTTTGGGTTAAGCTTTCTGGAAACTTATGGGAACAGTTTTTGTTTGCCCAGACCACGTGCACAACTTGGACATGACTGAGCCTCTTCAATGGGCCAGATATCAATGGCGGCGGCTAATCGGTGGTGCAAACCGGGATGATGACGAGAGGCCATACAACTATTCCTCAATGCTTGTCTGCGGTGGCAAGACTCCCCAGGCCCCCAAACTGGCAGGAAAACACCGCGTTGTTGTCCCCCACCTTCGGCCCTTCAAGGATGAGTATGAAAAATTCTCTGGAGCCTACGTCAATAACCGAATACGAACAACAAAGTACACGCTTCTGAACTTTGTGCCAAGAAACTTATTTGAACAATTTCACAGGTACTGTTTTATTATTTGATTATATTAGAATTTTCTTTGTCATTTGGTTGATACATAAAATTTTGGCAGTTGTGTATTTCATACTACTTAAGCCTAAAACTGTGGTATTATCTTTGATGCTTCTGGTAAGAGTCTCTTCTGAAATGATGATCATTTACGTTGAACAAAGCTGGGGTAAAGGGTGCTGACCTCTCCCACCCTTATGTTTAAAAATTCTCATATAACTTTTTTTAATGATTACCTGGGTTTTATTGACTATGCAAAGGCTGTGTGGGTGGATCATAACAAATTATGGATAACATTGAGAAGAATGAGAATTTTAAAACACTTAATTGTGCTCAGGCAAAAATCTGCAGATAACTTTGACTGCTCAAAATTTTTGTTACTGTTGACCGCTGTTGACCAAAAGCTTTACCAATAACATAAACTTGATTAGTTTGTATTTTATCTGCTGTATACTACACCCACATAAAAGCTGTATTTTCAGTACAAAGATAAAAAGATATTTTGCAAAAAGTACAAGAGTTTTACACCTGCTGACATATCTGTAGCCACAGCTTCTCAGATTTCCTTTTCTCTTTTCACACTATTTCTTATACTGGATTTGTGTATCTTAAAATGGTAGGCAGGTGTAGGCCTCAATCTACAGTACATATCAAGAAATTCAACTTTTTGTTTTATGAGTTTTCTCAGCTTCTTGGGAACACTTGCAGCCTTACTAGTGATATTTTAGATGGGTTCTGTGGTTAATTCAAGGTTTAAGTTAGTGTGTTAAACATGATGAAAACTATGTAAGATGCAATGAGAGAGCTCATTTTGCTGTAATTAATACACAATTTACTGGAGAGACAAACTGCTCATGTGGAGATGCTCAGCTATCTCATGGCATTTTAAAAACATCTGAGAATATGTGGGTGCACATTGTTCAAACCTATTTGTACTTGACAGTTGTTCAGCTGCCTTCTCTTTACCAGAGAATGTATTCTTATCCTCAGATTCTAGGTTAGGAACTGAATTCTTAGACTGTGGTTTTGTTAGTGTCATGCCAGGGGCTACAACCTTAGTCTTCTGACTTTTCATTTAGTCTTATAGTCATTAAAACACATTGAATTTTAATTTGAGACTTTTTTCCAACCTGGTAATCTGGGGAAATAGAGCTCTGAAACCAGGGCATGAATGTTATAGGTGACACAATAATATCATTCAGCTTCATACGGTATATGCATTTTTTTGAAGCTTTCCCTTGAATTTAGTCACTGGATAAAATGTAAAATATGTTTCTCATTTCTTGTTGGAATTTGAAGTTTACCCAGGGAAGCAAACTTTGAATTCAAGCAAATCCAAGTGATAGTGGGTGTGATGAAAGTTATAAAGTGCTATCAAATAGGATTCTAAAAAAGAAATAACCATGAGATGGTGATGTGACATTTGAATTTCATCCTGGAAGGTGGTAGGTTTTTCAGTAAAATGGTATGGGGAAAGGCTATTTCACATGAACGAAGGAGCACGAGTAAAGCAGAAAGGCAGGAACACAGAGGGGGCCTGCTTGAGGCGTGGAAAGTAGCAGTTCAGCTTGACTAATATATAGGGTTTATGTTGGAGAGTGCTGAACCTGAGCCTTACATGCACTTACTGGATGCTGGGGAGGGTAGCTTGTCTTTCATGGAAGCTTCATGCTATGACCTGTCCCAGACCTCATCCTTTGCTTCTCTTTGTATCCTTTTTGGTTATAATAAAGTTATAGTTGTAAGCATGGTATGTTGTCAATGAATTAATGAATCCATGGGGGCAAGGAGAGTCATAAGAGGCTGGTATCTACCTGGGAGTCTGGGAGTCCTTCTAATGGGTGAGGTCTGACCCAGCTCTGGGTGACTAGGATGGAGAATTGGGAGCAGAAGGACTGGATCCATTTCTACACTTGGGAAATTGAATGTATGCTGAACCTTAAGGTGAGATTTGTCTGGTTCCACTGGCACAGTGCAATTATTCTTGTGCAAAGTTTGATAGTAAATATTTACTAGGAAGGAGAAAAAACAGGTGATATAAATTCATGGGACTAATCAGGATGAACGATATTATGTTTGTTCTGTTTTGAGGAAAGGGAAGACTTGAACTTACATTATGGCCAAAATTAAGGAGTCAGTAAGAAAGTGCCCAGAGTGCTGGTGTGGCACTAAAGGGATAGCACTGCACTGCTAACCAAAAGGTTGATGATTCAAAGCTGCCAGCTGCTCCTTGGAAACCTTATATAGGGTCACTAGGAGTCAGGACTGACTCTACAGCACTTGACAATAACAACAAGCAAGTATTCACGTTTGAAGATGTAAAATAGAGGGAGATATAAAATAGTTGTTGTTGTTAGGTGCCATCGAGTTGATACTGCCTCATAGCGACCCTGTGCACAAAACATTGCCCAGTCCTGGGCTAACCTCGCTATTGTTGTTATGCTTGAACCCATTGATGCTCCCACTTTACCAGTCCATCTTGTTGGGGTCTTCCTTTTTTCTCTGACCCTCCACCTTACCAAACATGAAATCCCTTTCCAGTGACTTGTCCTTCCTGACAATATGTATGAAGTATGAGAGACAAAGTCTGGCCATCCTGGCCTCCAAGGAGCACTCTGGCTGAACTTCATCCAACACAAATCTATATGTTCTTTTGGCAGTCCATGGTACTTTCAATATTCTCTTCCAACACCGTAAGTGTGTCTTCCAATACCAAATGCATCGATTCTTCTATGATCTTCCTATTCATTCTCCAACTTTCACATGCATATGAGGTTATTGAAAATATCATGACTTGGGTCAGGCATACCTTAGTCCTCAAGGTGACATCTTTACTCTTCAACACTTTAAAAAGGTCTTGTGCAGTAGATTTGTCTAATGCAATACATTGTTTGATTTCTTGATTGCTGCTTCCATGAGTGTTTATGGTTGATCCAAAACAAATGAAGTCTTTGACAGCTTCAATCTTTGCTCCATGAATAAGAATGTTGTTTATTGGTCCAATGATGAGGATTTTTGTTTTCTTGACATTAAGATGCAGTCCATACAGAAGGCTGTGGTCTTTGATATTAATCAGTGAATATTTAAGTCCTTTTCAATTTCAGCAATCAAGTTTGTATCATCTGCATATCGCAGGTTGTTAACGAGTCTTCCTCCAATCCTGATGCCATATATTCATATAACCCAGCTTCTTGGATTATTTGCTCAGAATATAGGTTGAATAAGTATGGTGAAAGAATACAACCCTGAAACACACTTTCCTAATTTTAAACTATTCAGTGTTCTCATGTTCTTTTCAAACAACTGCCTCTTGGCCCATGTACAGGTTCCTCATGAGCACAATTAAATGTTCTGGAATACTCATACTTCGCATTGTCGTCCATAGCTTGTCATGATCCACACAATCGAAGACCTTTGCATAGTCAATAAAGCACAGGTAAGCATCTTTCTGGTATTCTCTACTTTCAACCAAGATCCATCTGATGTCAGCGATAATATCTGTCATTCCACGGCCTCTTCTGAATCCAGCTTGAACCTCTGGAAGTTCTCTGACAGTGTATACCTGCAGCCATTTAGTAAAACTTTACTCTCATGGGATATCAAAGATATTATCTTATTATTTCTGTATTCCATTGGGTTACCTCTCATTGGAATGGGCACAAATACAGATTTCTTTCAATCAATTGTCCAGATTGTTGTCGTCCAAATTTCTTGGCATAGATGAGTGAGTGCCTCCAGTGTAGCCTCACTTTCTTGAAAGATTTCAGTTTTTATTTAATCAATTCCTGGTGCCTTGTTCTTTGCCAGTTCCTTGTTCTTTGCCAGTTCTTTGCCAGTGTCATTGGTTCTGGCTCATATTTTACCTCCTGAAACAATTGAACATTGAGTATTTCCTTTTGGTACAGTGACTCTGTGTAGTCTTTCCCTCTTCTTTGGATGCTTTCTGCATCATTCAGTAATTTACCCTGAGAATCCATCAATAATGGAAGTCGAGGCTTGAATTTTTTCTTCAGTTCCCTCAGCTTGAGAAATGCTGATTTTCTAACTCCAGCTCTTTGCACATTTCATTGTAATATTTGACTTTGTCTTCTCAAGCTGATCTTTGAAGTTTTATGTTCAGCTCTTATACCGCTTCATTTCTTCCATTTGATTTAGCATCTCTACACTGATGAGCAAGTTTCATTGTCTCTTCTGACATCCATTTTGACCTTATTCTTCTTTCTTGTCTCGTTTTGGACTTTTTGCTTTCTTCCTGTATGATTTTCTTGATGTCATCCCACAACTCTTCTGGTCTTCTGTCTTTAGTGTCTAATGTGTCAAGTCTGTCCTGCAGATGATCTCTAAATTCAGGTGGGATATATTCAGGGTCATATTTTGGCTCTCATGGACTTGTTTTTATCTTCTTCAGCTTCTGTTTGAATTTGCAATATGAGCAACTGAAGGTCTGTTTCACAATCTACCCCTGGCCGTGTTTTTGCTGATGATATGGAGCTTTTCCATCGTCTCTTTCCACAGATGTAGTCAATTTGATTTCTGTGTATTCCATCTGGTAAGGTCCATGTGTATAGTCATCTTCTATGCTGTTTAAAAAAGGTATTTGAAATGAACAAATCATTGATTTTGCAGAATTCTATCATGCAATCTCAGCATCATTTCTATCACCAAGGCCATATTTTCCAACTACTGATCCTTCCTGTTTGTTTCCAACCTTTGCCTTCCAATTACCAGTGATTATCAATATATCTTGATTGCCTGTTTGATCAATTTCAGACTGAAGAAGTTGGTAGTATTCTTCTGTTTCATCCTCGCTGGCTTTTGTGGTTGGTGTGTAAATTTGAACAACAGTGGTGTTAATTAGTCTTCCCTGTAGGCACATGGATATTATCCTATCACAGACAGTGTTGTACCTCATGACTGATCTTGATACTTTAATACATTGAATACAATGAATGCAACACTATTCCTCATCAATTTGTCATTCCCTGCATAATAATCCATGTGGTTGTCAGATTCAAAATGGCCAACACCAGTCCATTTCAGCTCACTAATGCTTAAGATATTGATGTTTATGCATCCCATTTCATTTTGACAGCTTTCAATTTTCCCAGATTCATACTTTGTACATTCCATGTTCTGATTTTCAGTGGATGTTTACAGCGGTGTCTCTTCATTTTGAGTTGTGCCCCAACAGCAAATAAAGGTCCTGTGGACGTTTCTCCCACAGGCTTTACTCCATTCGTGTCATCACGGTCAACTTTACTTTGACTGGCAGCTCTTTCCCAGTCGCATTTTGAGTGCCTTCCAACCTGAGGGGCCCATTTTCCGGCCCTATGTCTTACAGTGTTTCTCTGCTATTCATAAAGTTGTCAATGACTAAATACTCAGAAGTAGTTCTTCTCTCTTTCTTCCTAGTCTGTCTTCATCTGGAAGCGCATCTGAAACCTGTCCACTGTGGGTGATCTTTGCTGGTATTTAAAATACCCATGGCATGCTTCCGGAATCACAGCAACTCACAAGCTACACACAGTATGACAAACTGACATACAAGTGGTTGATATAAAATAGAAGTGATGGAAAAAGTTCCTTGAGAAAGTGGTCTGAAGATCATAAAAGCAGAAAGAAAGGATTAGTCTCGGGGGAAAATCTATGAATTTTCCATTTCTTTTTAGCATTATTTGAATCTAATTTTCAGTTGTACCAATTAAGTTATGTAGGCTGAAGGATAGTTTGTTTTTTAACTTCTGCAACTCTTTTACTCGGAATTTTCTTTTAAGTTTTTTTCTCTTGAATTTTTGAGATTATATTTCTTATTATGCTTTGTGTCATGTATTATACAATTCATGACTGACACACCCCAATATTTGCAATTACTATCCTGGTGTGCTGCTATAGAATATGCACTGGACTTCTAACTTCGAGATTGGCAGTTCAAACCTAGCAGTTGCTCCTCAGAAAGGTTGTGATGGGTCAGAATGGACTCCACAGTACTTAACAATAACCTCTACATTTATTAGTGCAGTCCTGGTATGGCACTGTAGGATAAACACTGGATTGGTAACCACAAGGTCAGTAGTTCAAACCCACCGATCACTCCTTAGGAACCCTGCACAGGTTTGTTGCTTGTCAGATCAACTCGATGGCACTTAAGAACAGCAACAATAACAGCATTCATTAAGATATGCAAGATCCAGATATCTAGTAGAATAATCAATTGTTTGTTCTAGAGTTGTTCAGAGAACTAGATTTTGATAATCATCTATTTTGAGAAATATATGGCATCTAAGACAAACTAATAGAATCTTGTAGGTAAACACATTAAAGTATTTTGCTTGTTTGCTTCAGCCTTTTGGAATATTTGTTGACACCACCTTGTGTTTGTTTGGGTTGCAGAGCCGCCAATTTATATTTCCTGTTTCTAGTTGTCTTGAACTGGGTGCCTTTGGTAGAAGCCTTCCAAAAGGAAATTACAATGCTGCCTCTGGTGATTGTCCTTACAATCATTGCCATTAAAGATGGATTGGAAGATTACCGGAAATACAAAATTGACAAACAAATCAACAATTTAGTAACTAAAGTTTACAGTGGGTAAGTGTAAGGTTTGCTATGGAATATGCATATTATCATTTAGAAACATGCAGAGTATTGCTTTTTTTCCTCCCCTTAGTTGTGACTGGGATTCTTTGTATTATTGTTGTTTTCAATTAATAGTTGTTAATTTCCTACTATGAATTAAGGTATCATAAGGTAGCGTAGTGGTTTGAGGCTGCAGGCCGCAAGGTCAGCAGTTCGAAACTACCAGCTGTTCCGCAGGAGAAAGATGAGGTTTTCTGCGCCCGTAAAGATTTACAGCCTCGGAAACCCTGTACAGGGTCGCTATGACTTGGAACCGACTCCATGACACATAACAACAACAACAACAACAACAATGTTAGTATTGGGGATAAAGAATTGGATCAGATATGAGGAAATGAGGGAAATCAAGAGCAGCCTATGGAAGAAAGAAAATTTTAAGATGGAGAGAAGCTTTTTTTTTTTTTTTTAATGCACAAAATTTGAGGCTTATAAAACCCTACCCACTTCAGCACCAACTGAGGGCATTCATCATTGGAGGTGTTTTTAGGAGCATGTTTACTCTGTTGAAGAGTTAAATCTTTGTGTTTATAAAACAGCTGGTCTGTAGCTAAGAATAAAGACAGTTAAGGTGAGTTTTGAATTGCAGCTCCTTGGTCTTTATTCTTAGGTGGAAGCTAAATGCTTCAATGACATAATTTGGGGTTTTTTTTACTTATTTTCCCAAGTGAAATATCTTTTAAGGTAAAGACCAGTAAAATGTAGAAACTCAGACAAATAGGTGGTGGTGGTGGTGGTGGTGGTGGTGTGTTGTGGAGTCTGTTCCGACCCACAGTGACCATGTAAAGAGTTTCTGAGACTGTAAATCTTTACAGGAGCAGAAAGCCTCCTCTTTCTCATCTAACCTTGAGGTTGGCAGCCCTACTCGTAACCACTACGCTACCAGAGCTCCTAAAATATGTTGAATTGATGGTTAAATTAAGTAAAGCAAATAAACAGCAGCCTTTTACAAAATTACCCGAGTACAGTTTCTGTTGGCTTAGCTGTACCACTGTTTATATTTTTATCCAAAGATGTACAAGGTGACTATGTAAGAGATGAAAGTATCTAGAATAATAGTCTAAAATACGACTAGCTACTCTGAAGGCTCTGAGCATATCTTGCTGAGAATAGAAAATATGTATTCTACTTAAAACAAACTATTATCTTCCCATATTTATTTTAATGTCTCAATGTATTATTGATAATCCTCAATTAATCTTAAAGAGTCTCCAGTTTCTTTTCAATAATGCTTTTTAATATGTATGCAATACTTTTTAAAAAACAGATGAAGAAAAATGCCTACTTATGTTAGTATCCAGAGACAACTATTTGTAACATTATGGGGTGTATTTCCATCAAGTATACATATTTGTGTGTGTTGTGTTTTACAAAATTGAGATTGTACTACTTGTAGTATTTTTATTCTAATTTTTCAGCCTCATTTCAGCCATAAACGTTTTCCATATCTTTAGCCATCCTTCAAGAAAATATTTTTATTAGCTGCATTGTCTGTTATGTCATATCATGTTTTATGACTCTAAGATAATGTATTTAAATATTTTGCATATATATA